AAGATCTTACAACATGGACATCAGAGGGATCTGGCCTTATTTGGGGGCAGCATTTGGTCCATCACATCAAATTCTACAACTTGACTTTTAAGACTCAAAAGTAAGCTTTTTTTTTTTTTTTCCCCCTTCTCCCCTGGCTTCTAAGGATCTTTATTTATCACCCTCAGGGGCATTACAGTGAGTAATTAGATTGGACCAGGAGAACGACTTAATTTTACAAGAAACTCATTAATTCATCCTATTTAAAATCTTCTCATTTCACCCCAAACCCAATTATGCTAGTGGCAGCAATGATCTGGAAGGGCATTGTCTCGTCGGTATTAGGGGGCCACTGGGACTCCCGCCGTATTCGTGTCGGGGAGACAAGGGTGACTCCCTTTCTTTGACTTTTAGGTCAAAAGAACTAGTCCCTGGGCCAGCTTGACAATTAGAAAGCCCTGATGAGCATTTGGGAGTAAACCAGCTGTACAATAACAGAGGGGTTCATGGTGCGGGGCAGAAAGCTCATCAAAAGAGACTATCCAAACAATTGAGTTCTATAATTAACACACAAAAATCTGTTCAGAAATGGTAATAACAGTAAAAAGGAGCTGAGGAGATGCTGCCTACTTATGTGGCAGATGTGGTTTTGTTACAAGCCGAGAGACAAAATTCATCCTCTTAAAGAATAAGAGCAACATTAGAGGGGGAAAAAAATAAAAGTAACTTTTTGTTCCTAAGGGTGCAGTTAAAACACCAGCTTAAAATATTTCCAGACAGGGAAGAGCTTTAGAAAAAGTAACCAGTGATGAAAGATGTGAAATATGCTATCAAAGGACTTTTTTTCTAAGTCTTTAAACACACATCTCTTTTCTCACTGAAATTTATGAGCCTGACACTGAAATATCTTTTCTTACATTATTTGCTTTGTCCTTGGTTTCACTGGCGATACTATTTTAGGGTTTTTCATTTCAAGCTGGCTACAGTTATTTTTTTATATACAAATTTTGCTGCTGCAAATAAACACTTTAGAACATCTATGTCAAATTTCCTTCTAAGTTCATTGACTTAACTAGATTTGCTTGAGCAAAGCCATGTTCCTGTGCTTGCTTATTCACTCCATTCTCTTTATTAACTCCTAATCTGGAAATCAGTATTTTTCCCAGTTGTCAGTTGTCCTGTTCAGCAGAAGCTGAGGCAGCAGGTAGGAACAGTTTCTTCTGGCCGCAGTCCCTGGTTGCCACAATTGCCCAGCAGCTCTCAGCTCTTGTACCTTCTGGAGCATCTCTGGTACAGGGAAAGGCTGAGAGCCCTGGGCTGTTGAGCCTGGAGAAGGGAAGATTCAGTGGGAATCTGATCAATGCTCATCGATATCTAAAGGGCCCCCGGGGGGCAAGAGGGCAGGGCCAGACTCTGGTCAGTGTGCCCAGCAGCAGGCAAAGGGCAACAGGCACAAACTGGAACCCAGGAGGTTCCACCTGGACAGGAGGGAAACTTTCTTTTCTGTGAAGGTTCCAGAGCCTGGAGCAGGCAACCCAGAGAGGTTGTGGAATCTCCTTCTCTGGAGAGATTCCAGACCCATCTGGATGTGATCCTGGGCATCCTGATGTGGGTGACCTGCTGGAGCAGAGAGGTTGGATGAGGTAATCCCAAGGTCCCTTCCAGCCCCCACCATTTGGTGATCCTGTGACCTTCCTCATCCTGTCGTCTTCTGTTCATGGTTCAGGCAGCTCTGCCTGGCTCTAGGGTCTCTTTCCCCAGGTTAGAGTCCCACTTGGTCTTCTCATGGGTGAAGAGCAGAGAGATGCCCCCAGGGCAGTGCCAAAGCCCCTGCTTGGAGCTTGCTGAAGGCCTTTTTTTTTTTAAGATATGTTCTGCATTTTTAATGATTTAGGAACTTGTCAACAAAGACACTGGGGTAGTTTCTTTATCAAAGCCTTTGCAAAGACATTATGCCCTTTTTTTTTTTAAAAAAAAAAAAACACTTAAGCATGTGAAACCTTTTCCAAACTATGATGGAAAGATTCATTGCCATTTCCACAAGGCCAAAGGAGCAGTGTAAGAGCAAGCAACGGGGGAATTTTTTAAAACAACTTTAAATCTGCAAGAATCTTTTTTTAAAAAGATACCTCAAGAGGAAAAAAAAAACTAACAAACCCAAATTATTTAAAAATAAAGAAAAAAACAATTTAATACACATTTTATTGTAGCTAAAAGGAATGTGACTAGAACCCAATCTGCCATGAGATGAGGTTTTAAATTCTGAAATTGCTGGCTGAAGAAAAATCTGTGTTTGGAGAGACCAAGCAAGCAGACTTTCCAGCCCACACATGCATTCTTTTTTCTGTTTGGAGAAAGCCACGAGTCTGAAAATCAGGTTTTAATGAGAAAACGAAGTTTGAAAAACAGTTGGGGAAAATTTGCGTTCAGATTTAACTGAAGTTTCCTAATTCTCCAGAGCAGTTGTTGCAGTTTTAACTTGCATTGCTCTGGTGAATTTAAAAGGAAAACAATAAGACATACAATCACGTCCAGCAGTGTTTGACAAATCCTGTCTCGCTTTGCGAGAAACAGAAATCAAATAGCTGTTAACATTAGAACTGAAAGATATCAGCATAATTATTTCAAGATGATGGCCATTTAAAACCCATGTGGTTTGTTCTGAGGGAAAACTGTGAGCTCCTTCATGCTGGAAATATTTTTGTTTGAGAGTTTTCCTTGGCTCTAGTGCAGCTGATTGTAACCTTGCTATGCTTGTGGGTCAGCTGAATGTGAGAAAAGATTTTTCTCTCTTTTTTCCCCCCTTTTTTTTTAAAAAAAAAAGAGAAAAGCTGACAGAAAGAACTAATTAAGGCAAAGCTAAGGAACTGAATCCAAAGTTTGCATTGCACATGTGAACTAATCTTTTTACAATGGGATCTTTCGAAAGCTGTGTAAGAACCCCATTCTTGCCAGGTCTCACCCAGCAAATCCTTCCTGGAAAAGCAGCCGCATCAAGATTTGTCCTGAGCAAGCAATAAAGACTGTAAGGGAGCAGGTTCTGTGCAGGTCTCTTGTTTGCCTGATAAATCATTAACCTTCCAAAAAGCCCCTGCGTAGCGGGAACAGGCGCTGGCTGCAGTAGGTGTGTCAGCAGAACTTCATGCTAAGAACGGCTTGTGCGGGATTAGATGGGACTTTTTAAGCAAAAAGAAACCTGGAGCTCTTAGGGGCAAGGAACTACTGGTTTAGTGCAACACATTCTCTAATGTCCTCTTATGCCACGTGCTGAAATGTGGTGAAGCTCTGAGCAGTCTGAAATGAGGCAAGCGAGGTGTTCAGGAGTGGGTGATTTTGGAAGCAAAATAGCTGTGTGTGCTTTAGGAGCAGGCACTGCCTTTGGAGAGCTTTCTTCAGGGCTTGAAATATTAATGATCTTGGCTTAATATAGTAGAAAACAAAATACAGTGTATGAAACAAGGGGAAGAAAAAAGAATCCTTGAACTGCAGGCTCTTGAACTTGCAGCACCCACTGAACCCATCTATTCCCTTAAACCACTCGATCTGAAGAGAGCAATGAGGAGCAATAGTCACAAAAATCTTTACCTGTGACATTTTCCTGCCTTTCAACAGCATGCTATAGCCTGACCAAATTCTTCAGCCTTGTAGCAAGTCGTTTATCATCTGAGTGTTTTAATACTAGGAAGATGCTCAAGATGCCTCTTTTTAAAAAAGTATTCTGTGAACTATGATGTTCATATTAATGGCAATTGTTAGAGTTTACATGTTTTATTTTAAAACCCTTGAATGATAGAAAGTATTTTGTGGATAAGAGCAGGCAGCTGGTCTCCTCTTGCATTTGTTTTTTATTGTTCTTATATATGGCAGCAAGATTCTGCCCATCGGGCTCTGCCCTGGTCATTTACAGGCTTGGGTGTATTGCTGAGCTGAGCTCTGACAGAGAAAACTGGGAATAAAAGAACTACTGTCTGCAGGGGGTGGCACTAGATGATCTTGAAAGGTCCCTTCCCACTCAAACCAGTCTGTGATGCTAAAACAAAATGGGTGAGCCCTGGCTGTGTGGGGCCTGCACCCCACATAGAGGCTGTGCAGAGTGGGGGAACCCTGCAGGTGGTGTAGGTGAGAAATGAGGAGATGTGAGACACTCTTGAGTACTGGGAACAGCCTTTTCTTTTTCACACATTTGCAGCCTGGGTGTTTTCTCTCTTCTCTAGTGCTGAAAGCTGGTGGGCTTTTATCTCCAGCCAAGGGAGAAAAACCCAGGATGACATACCTGTTAGCCGCTATTAAAAAGTATCATTAATGATGCTAATGAGTTTTTTCCAGGTGATGTAAAAGCAGCCATCGGTGTAAGCATTGCAGTGATGAAGGTGATGTCACCCACAGCTTGCCAGCTGCACGTGGGGCCTGGTGGCCATGGCACAGTCACTGCTGGCTTTGAGGAGGGGAGAACGTTGTCGATTTCCTCCCTCAAGGAGAAGGAGCCAAATGAGTCCTGCCTTGCCAGGAGGCAGACGTGCCATTTCCGGGCATGCTAGGCTGAGGGCCTGGCTGCCAATCCCACTGCGTTCCCATCCCACTCCCTCTTAGAAATTGGCAGTGTCTGACTGTCAGCTGCCATTCCTTAAGTGGTCATAGAATGAACCAATTGCAGCCCTTTTGTCATGCTCTCTGTGTGTGTGTGAATGCAGGTGGACATGGGTTAAGCAACATGCAACTCCACAGTGAGCACAAAGAGGCAGCTGATTTTCTGGCACTGTCAACAGAAGAGTATAATTTTTTATTATTTTTTTTTTTAAAGCTAGCTTTTAGAATGACTCTTGTTGGAATTAGAAATCGGTATCCCCTGACATAGGATTACTCACTAAGAGTGTGGTGATTATTAATTCTTCACCTGGGGCTAAGGGGACATCATTAGATCTCTTTGAAATGTCTCCTGCCTTGGTTTGGAATAAGTGAACTAGAAATTTATGATCACAGCCTGGGCAAGTAACACTCTCCCTTCCTGTTCCTCCATCCAGCTTGCAAAATCGGATACTACAAGGCTCTCTCGACAGATGCCGCTTGTGCCAAGTGCCCGCCTCACAGCTACTCCATCTGGGAAGGCTCTACCTCCTGCACCTGCGACCGGGGCTTTTTCCGAGCTGAGAACGACGCGGCCTCCATGCCCTGCACTCGTAAGTTGGTCTTTGCACAGTCTCTTCCTCCTCCAGCAGCCCTTTCTCCTCCTCTGGCTTTCTTTCAGGGTGTCTGTAGGAAATCCTGCCCCGAGATTTGTGTCTCTGCAAAGTGTCCTGCCGCTGAGAGCGGCGCTCAGCAGCTCCTACAGCACTTTGCAGAAGCCATTTGCGTTTTGGCTCACACCTCTGGGGGAGAAAACTTTAATTCTAGGCCCTGAATTCCTCAGAGTGACATGGTTGTGCTGGCCATTGAGAGCTTAGAGTCTAAATAAATCAGGAGATTGGAAACAGGCAAAGCCAGAAAAGAGGAATGGCTCACACAACTCGGTAACAGAGCTGGACATAAAGTACAGGTCTAAGTTCAGTCTGAGGACCCGTCCAGCAGATCACATAACCTTTCATCTCTTGAAATAGTGATAGTTGTAAAAATGGTGAAAGCTTTTCTCATAATGGTGTGATCTAAGGTAAATAGGTAATGAGATTGTAAATATTACCTATCTAACTTGCTCAAAGTATAGCTGGTGACCCTTAGGAACATAAAAGTGTTCCTATGAAAGGGGTGGTAATAATAAATCTTAAATCTCAATGAAACAAGCACCCAAAGTATGGTTTGTTTTATCCTTTTTAGAAAAATACATCATGCTCAGCAAATGGAATTTCCTTTAGTTCCACTAAAATGCTTTCAGCAGGGAGAGCAAGAGGCACAGCACACTGAGGGCACCCAGGGGGTTGCTGGAACAACTCCATGTCCTATGTATTGGTTAACAGCCCACGCAGCCAAAGATCTGGGGATCCATGGTGATCATCTAGTTCTTTGGTGTTCACTTCTACAGGAACAGAGCAGTTCAAAGCAGTGAGTGAAAGAGGGCTGTGTTGTACCAGGGGGTGTCCATGTGTGGCCTTCCCTGGAAGCTATTGGAAATGCTTCCAGAGTGGTGGAGTTCAGCTGTATATTTATGTAGAAGGGGGTGTGTGTTTGTGTGAAGGGAGGTTGAGATATTTCTTTTGTAACATTTTTACATATTCCAAACTCATTTTGGAGAGATGATTCACATTTACTTAAATCTTAATTTCTCCCTTACAAGGTAGAAACAGAGTATGTCTGTAACTAAGCCAGCACTTATCCCTTCCCCACCCCCTCTTGATTCCAGCTCTTCATCAGTGATCTTCTTTCCAGCTCTGAGTTTTGCTGGGTGGTGGTGGTGAAGCAGGTCTGGGCATAAACCAAGAGCAGCTGATTTGGCTTAGGAGAACAGAGAGGTCTGTACATCCCTTGCCAAACATTGACTGGGGATGGAGGTCTAACTGTGTTGTGAAACCTTGCTGAACCTTTTTTGTCAAGTCTTGGGCCTGCTTCTGTCAGCCTTCCCCAGTCCTGTCTTTGGAGGTCAAAGTTAAGTCCCTGATCATGGTCCTTTGCCCTGAAGATATGAAGAGGGAAGAAGGGAAGGCAAGGACCATGGTGCTGGCCTCAGTCTTCATTTCATGAATACAAGACCTCTTTGAGGTCTGCCTTAGCAGTGCTTGGATGTTGCTATGGTGGTGCTACCTGCAGAGGCACAGAATGACACCCTGCGTGTGGTGCTTCTCTGTGTTGGGGTGCAGAGGGCTTTTGGGGTGGCTCTTTGTTTGCCCTGCTCTGCACGCTGAGCAACCTTCTACCACAGATTTGAGGCGAGGTGCAGGAGGTCTTTAGAGGGCCTCTGCTGAAGGAAGCCCCTCTGGAAGAAGCTCCTCGTTTTTCTGCCTTTCCTGACAAGATGTGGAGACAGAAGGGAGCGTAAACATCAAAGGTTCTTTCAGACAGATTCAGACTCTAATCAGTTCTTACCAGTTGGTTAAACCAGGTGACAAACCCAATTCCCTTGTGCTGACAGCCATAATAATCAGGCACCTTCTTTGTTCATTATGCTCTCCTTAACCCTGGTATTCTCATTCAGCCCTGCATTTGGTAATCGCTCAGTGTGACGGCGCACTAATGAAGAAATAAAACACAGTATCTGAGATCCATTCTTCTAGCAGAAAGATAGACTCTGCTCCACTGGCTTGTAAAATCGGGTTTCTGTTCACTTGGAGAACTATTAGACCAGGTGAATAAAAGTAACATCAGATAATTTGAAGAGAACACCTGGAATGGACTGTGGATTGATCCTTTCTTTATTATTTCTAAACACTTTTTAAGATGAAGACCTTCAGCCTTCTTAGGATGTGTTTTTGGAAAGCTTTGACCCTTGGCTATTGATTTCCTTTAATAATAAACTGTCTGGCCTCAGCCCTTGCCTCACCCTTTAGGCTGGGGGAGGAAGACCGTTATGACTTTGCATTAGCCTGGCTGTGCTCCTGGATGAAAGGGAATTGGAGAATTCCCCTTCCTTTTCCTTTCTTACAATTCCTGTGGTAAGTAATAAAAGCAACACCTCCTTCCTGATGCACTGTCAGGAGAGGTACTCCAGAGTTTTCTCTTTCCAAAACACCACCCTCTGACATCTCTGTCTGCTGTTGAGTTGTAAAACCTGTGCCTAACCTTCAGGCAAGCCAGGCATCCCATCTAAACAACTCAAACTCTGCTTTGAGTGTTCTGCTCTGTTTTAGCTCTGCTAGAGTGAGTAGTGAGTAGAGTGAGCCTGGCTTAAAGCTTGTACAGGAAAGAGCAGAACATAGTGGGATGTGAACATAGGAGATGGTGGAGTGGGCTGTGACGGGAGGCTGGCATAGACACCCTGGCAAACACATGTTCACTGGTTAACAGTTGGGCTTGATGATATTAGAGGGCTCTTCCAACCAAAGCGATTCTATAATTCCATCTTTTCCTTCAGACTTGCCTCGTGGGGATAATGATCACCATGTCTGTCACCACTGAGGAGCGGAGCCACCCTGGCTCTGCTGCGCTGACCTCGCTCAGGAGTTTAGACTTTCAGCTCTGAAGCACAGAGGGCTTATCAGCCTTGTGTTTGGACGTGGAGGTGTTGTGCTTGACCTGTAATACGTTTGAGCACAAACTGTGGGAAACATGGATGGTTTTCCCTTCTGGAAGCATTGCAAAAATAACATGTGGGCAGCTTTCCAGAACTTCAGTCTGTTTCCGTGTGTGGGGTGAGGATGGGTCTTCCATAAGGTTAGCAGTCTAATGGAGCAGAAATTCCCTTCCCAACACACAAATCCAGGAGGCTGGAAACCAATCAATCTCAATCATGGTCCTCATTCCTGAATTTCCTTCTCCTTAAGGAGATCCTCTGTGAATTGTGGCCTGGCATGGGTGGGCAGGTGCCGTTCCCACCCAAGTGAATGGGCGTTGGTCCTGGGTCCCCACTGTTAATGAGTTGGGTTCTCTGACTGTTTCTTAACAAACAATGCTCACATTATGAGTGAGAGCAGGATGGTTTTGTATTGTTTATATTGTCTGTTCCTTTCAGATTATTAATGATTTTTAATTGGGAGCCCTTTACAAAAGAGAGATTACCAGCATAGACTGTCCAGCCTGAAACCTCTCTCAGTAAATGACCCTGAATAATTTAGTCTGTTGTGCCACTAAAACAGTGACCGATTGATTGATATTTTGGTGTGGCCTGAAATATTTCTAAAACGGTTGCATTTAAGACAGCTGATAGCAGAGAAACTTAGAGATAATGAGGGCAAATTTAGTGAGATGCAGGAGAAAAGTGCCTGCTTTAAAAGGGCTTTCTCCAGTTTAGCTTATCAAGAAATCGAAGAGCCTGACTTCAAACAGCAAACATCACTTACTTGTCTTTACATTCGCCTCTTCTAATTGAATTTAGTGCACTGCTGTGTTTCCTCCAGAAAGTATATTGTTTTTAAATTACCATTTCAGTGCTATTACTCAAGGCTCCTGCTTCTAATGCTTTCTGACAGTTATCAGCATAATGAACCATAATGAAATGATGAGCAATCTACAGTGGAAACTCAATGTGGATTCCACTAGAGCAGTGTGACTGTGTTGTTAAAATTTGAATGCACATTAAAATAACACTGTCCTTACTTGTTTCCAAGGTCAGGGCTTTAAAAAAGGTCTGAAAGGTCTACACACTTCAATTTAGTAAATGTTGCAGTCTGATACGCGCCCTTAGCGCAATCTTGTGTTGTGTTTAATGTATCTCAGAGATAAATATTTGACCTGCATTTTCAAAAAACCAGAGTGACTTTACCTACCTAATAACTGTGCTTGAAAACGAGTAATTACACAGGAGCCGATTATTTGAGCGTATGTTTTTTATGATTGCTTAGACTTCTAAACAAACAAATGTGCTCTTTTTCCTTCAGCTTAACTTGTGCCTCTTCTAAATTTCCAGACAGACACCGATCAGCAGCGTTGTAGCTTTCAGCACAGTAAGAACACAGGGTGCAACACGTGGTCGTGCTGGTGTGTTGTAGGTAGCTTTGCTCTGGCTTGGCCATCCTTCCTTCCCAAGGTTTGCATGCTTGTCCTGGCATTGCTTCAGTCTCACCTCTGCAGAGGGAGCAGCAGGGAGGGCAGCGTGAAGAGAATGATTTTTCTCCTCCGCGTAGGCTGGGAAAATAGACCATCCCTCACTGCATTGCTGCCAGAGCGAGAGAAAGGGATTGAGAGTGATGGGAATCTCAAAGGAGAAGGCTGTCTCCCCTCGTCTGTGGTGACGGGCTGAAGGAATTCAGGAGACGTTGAATAAGAAGGGGAGTGGTTATGGCTCGAAGAGACGAGACGGGAGCAATTTGACATTGTGCGTTTATAATCAGTAGACTTAAAATCATCACTCCTTGAAATGCAGCGACTGTTTATTAGCTGTCTTCTGATTTTTCTGGCCGGAGCCTTAAATTAACAAAGACATTTACTCAATTAACTGGGGGCTTTGATTTGGTTAGTCAGGACCCGATTCTGTAGAGTCGTTGAAGTAAATTAGAGGGCTGACAGAATAAGAAATTCAGCAGTTGGGCCAGTGACAGAAGAACTTATTTTTCTGGTTGGATTTCTTTCCTGTCAGACTGTCAGATAACTTGCTGGT